GCTTCAAGGTGCAGCATGACACACCTAAGCATTATTTGTGATTACTGTTCTACGCTTCTGCAAGAACAGAAATAATACAAATATGGAGCTGGAAATGAATAAGTGTAATAAGTGTTCCTTTGGAGTGCTAATACTTTTATAAGGAAATGTTCCAGGAGAGAGTTTACCCAGATATAACTACGAAAATCATTTAAAAGTCGATGTTTTCTTTCCAAAAGAGATCACTTTTTATTTGAACCTAATCTTCCACATCTTCTTTTAAACAGGGTGGTTTCAAACTAGTTTTCAAGGCAAACACATTCACAAAGCAAAAGAAGCCAAAACAACACAACAACACAGTGAACAAGGAATCAATAAAAACGTTTCAAGAAGGATAATAAAAGAAAAGATGTCAAAAATCTGTGAACTCCAACTGGGATGCACGTTTCTATTTTGAGAGGAGTTTGCTGTTAATTCCATTTGAAAGGTTGCAAGGCTTCAAACCGGATAGTATGATATGTTGTATGAAATATGTTATAAAGGTGTTATCTCTTTTGTGACAAACAAGATGTTATTGTTCACCTAGTACAGGGTCCAGTTTGGTTTCCTAGCAACATCAATTTGACGTGAAAAGAGGAAAGACCCTGCTGGATTTTTATTGACTGAAGGTTCATCGCTCATCACCCGTAACAACTGGTTGCTGGTATAAGGTAAGGCTTGTAGTTAGTGGCTACTTTCAGTTTTTGTTTCCCAGCAAAGGCATCTGTAACCAGTTGCAGGTGGCTAGGCTACACCTACTAATTGGAGGCACTGAAGTGAACGTCTCCACTGCCCTTTTTCTAAGAGAGACTAGTTTGTGCTTCAGGTTTGGGCAGAGAAATTCTATTATATATTATATATATATATATTATTTTATTTTGTTACTTAGAGCTGGGTAGCTTTTTAGACACCACACCAGCTACCAGGGTCATATCATACTGTTTGCATCATACAATATTAAATAGTAATCTTTCACTACCATTGGTAATGGCTACATACTAAGGTTTCAGATGTACGATTGCAGTGTTCCACTGCGTCTTGTGTTTTTAGTGGGTCACAAGGACACAACACTACAGATTTAATGTTTTGCAGTTTTTCTACCATTTACGTTCACAGCCGCCATTTTTCCAGTTAGAAATCCAACTTGAAGTATTCCTGTCTGGGAAATTCTGACTTCCCTTCTGCTGGACTGCTGCTAGTGTAAAAGAAAGTGCTAAATTAAAACATCAAACAAAACAGTGAAAAGAGCCCCATTTCTCTGCCAGCTTATCTAACTACCTAATTAATTACCCGAAGAAGATGTCAATGAAGCTGTTGATGCCTCATTAAAAGTTTTATCATCATGGGTTCAACTTCTTGTACGCTGACAACAGGCGTGCTAACGTTAATTGCTCGTCCTTTGTTGAGGTTGACTTTCAGGCTTTCAAGTAGGTACACTCTTCTGCTTTTAGACACATTTTGCATTTGACCAGTCGCTTCCTCAGATTAGATGTGTTACCATGGCTACCACAAATGTTGCAGAGAGAATTACATCACATTTTGAGAAGTAAAACCACACATGATACTGCTTGCTGCCTGCCACAACCAATACAGCCACGTGCATTTGTTTTTTTTAAGCGTGTTGCAGGAGTGACGTCAGACATTCAGGGTCTTTTTTTTCCTCTAAATCTGAAAACAAGCCTAGATGTTATCAGTCAGCAGTGTTGGTCAAGTTACTATAAAAAAGTAATCAGTAACTAATTACTGATTACTTCCCC